CTCCCTTTTTTTCTTGATGAGTCTGGCTAAGGGTTTATCAATTTTGTTTATCTTCTCAAAGAACTAGCTTTTAGTTTTATTGATCTTTGTTATTGTTTTCTTTGTTTCTATTTCATTTATTTCTGCTCTGATCTTTATGATTTCTTTCTTTCTACTGACTTTGGATTTTCTTTGTTCCTTTCTCTAGTTGTTTTAAGTGTAGGGTTAGATTGTTTATTTGAGATTTTTCTTGAGGTGAGATTGAATTGCTATAAACTTCCCTCTTAGAACTGCTTTTGCTGCGTCTCATAGGTTTTGGGTCGTTGTGTTTTTGTTGTCATTTGTTTCTATGTATTTTTTTATTTCTTCTTTGATTTCTTCAGTGATCTCTTGGTTATTTAGTAGCACACTGTTTAGTCTCCATGTATTTGTGTTTTCTACAGGTTTTTTTCCTGTAATTGATTTCCAATCCCACAGCATTGTGGTCAGAAAATATGCTTGATATGATTTCAATTTTCTTAAGTGTACTGAGGTTGATTTGTCCCAAGATGTGATCTATCCTGGAGAATGTTCTGTGGCACTTGAGAAGAAAGTGTATTCTGCCACTTTTGGGTGGAATGTTCTATAAATATCAATTATATCTATCTGTTTTATTGTGTCATTTAAAGTTTGTGTTTCCTTATCTATTTTCTGTTTGGATGATCTGTCCATTGGTGTAAGTGGGGTGTTAAAGTCTCCTACTATTATTGTGTTACTGTCAATTTCTCCTTTCATGGTTGTTAGCATTTGCCTTAGGTATTTAGGTGCTCCTATGTTGGGTGCATAAACATTTATAATTGTTATATCTTCTTCTTGGATTGATCCTTTGATCATTATGTAGTGTCCCCCCTTATCTCTTGTAGCAGTCTTTATTTTAAAGTCTATTTTATCTGATACAAGTATTGCTACTCCAGCTTTCTGTTGATTTCCATTTGCATGGAATTTCTTTTTCCATCCCTTCACTTTCAGTCTGTATGTGCCCCTAGGTCTGAAGTGGGTCTCTTGTAGACAGCATATATGTGGGTCTTGTTTCTGTATCCATTCAGCCAGTCTGTGTCTTTTGGTTGCGGCATTTAATCCATTCACATGCAAGGTTATTATCGATATGTATGTTCCCATTATCATTTTCTTAATTGTTTTGGGTTTGTTTTTGTGAGTCTTTTTCTTCTCTTGTGTTTCCCGTTTAGAGAAGTTTCTTTAGCATTTGTTGTAAAGCTGGTTTGGTGGTGCTGAATTCTCTTAGTTTTTGCTTGTCTGAAAAGCTTTTGACTTCTCCATTGAATCTGAATGAGATCCTTGCTGGGTAATCTCAGTTGTAGCTTTTTTTGTTTCATCACTTTAAGTATATCCTGCCACTGCCTACTGGCCTGCAGAGTTTCCACTGAAAAATCAGCTGATAACCTTATGGGGATTCCTTTGTATGTTATTTTTTGTTTTTCCCTTGCTGCTTTTAATATTTTTTCTTTGAATTTAATTTTTGTTAGTTTGATTAATATGTGTCTTGGTGTGTTATTCCTAGGGTTTATCCTGTATGGGACTCTCTGTGCTTCCTGGACTTGGGTGACTATTTCCTTTCCCATGTTAGGGAAGTTTTCAACTATAATCTCTTCAAGAATTTTCTCAGACCCCTTTTTTTTTCTCTTCTTCTTCTGGGACCCCTATAATTTGAATGTTGGTGTGTTTAGTGTTGTCTCAGAGGTCTCTGAGATTGTCTTCAATTCTTTTCATTCTTTTTTCTTTATCCTGCTCCTTGGCAGTTATTTCCACCATTTTGTCTTCCAGCTCACTTATTCGTTCTTCTGCCTCAGTTATTCTGTTATTGATTCCTTCTAGTCTGTTTTTCATTTCAGTTATTGTGTTGTTCATCTCCGTTTGTTTGTTCTTTAGTTCTTCTAGATCTTTGTTAAACATTTCTTGCATTTTCTCAATCCGTGCTTCCATTCTATTTCTGAAATTCTGGATCAACTTTACTATCATTACTCTGAATTCTTTTTCAGGTAGATTGCCTGTTTCCTCTTCATTTATTTGGTCTTGTAGGTTTTTACCTTGCTCCTTCATCTGTGACATATTTTTTTGCTGCCTCTTTTTTTCCTTTTTTTATGAGTTGGATTGTGTTCCTGTCTTACTGATTGTTTGGCCTGAGGCTTCCAACACTGGAGTTTGTAGGCTCTTAGGTAGAGCTGGGTCTTGGTGCTGAGATGAGGACCTCCGTGAGACCTCACTCTGATGAATAGTCCCTGGGGTCTGAGGTTCTCTGTTAGTCCAGTGGTTTGGACTCGGATTAAAGTATATATTTGAATGATTTTTAAATTGCATTCACTTGTTTATTTATTTAATATTGTTGTGCAATATTAAATTAGTTTTTTGTAACTGAAGTGTAGTTGATTTACAATATTGTGTTAGTTTCAGGAGTATAGCATAGTGATTCAATATTTTTCCAGATTATAATCCATTATAGGTTTTTATCATGTTTTTTATCATGTTATTATCATGTCTTTTCTATAGACAAGGTAATGAAGCCTAAGGAAAGTTGAGTTTGACAAAGATGTAGCCTGGTTTTACTTGGGCTGTATTGGCTTGATGGCAGAAACTATTTTTCCCAAGAGCTACTGTCAGTGCTTTCTAATAATAATAATAACAAGGCCTGTAGCAGTAATATGAGTACTAATTATGTTTCAGGCATTGTGTTAGCCTCTTTACACATATTATATCATGTGATTTTCACAACAACCCAGTGAGGAAGGTATTGATAGCTCCACTTTATAAATGAGGAAAATGAGGTTGAGATTGATTAAGAAACTTGACAGCTATTAGTGGCTGAGCAAAGATTTAAACCTGTGACACCCTGCAGAAGTTAGAATCAGACTCTGCTAGGTGTTACACCCCCAGGCTGTACCATCTACTACAATTTCCATTCCTTATCAGTCTTACACTTCTAATTCTCAGGTCACTTACTCAGCAAAAATAATTTGTACATCTTAAGCCTGATGAATAATAAAGAACTGAGATGGTAAGTAATTTTCATCTGAAGTAGTAGTGCCAATCAGCTGAGTTCTGAGCTCACCTGCGGGTGCAGGAAGAAAGTGCTCAGGATTGATTGGTGATATCTGGCATGGGTGCTGTGATGGGACAGGCAACATGAGGGCCTCAAACTGGCCAATCCTGACAGTCTTTCCCAGTCTGAGCCCCACCCCACTCCCATTTCCCTGCCAGCTAGTTAGTCAAACGTCCCTAGGGGCACACACTTTCAGAACCTAGCTTTTAATTATCAATGTTTTAAATACAAGGAGGATAATCAACTGTTCACATGGAGAAAAGAGGAACAGCAATCACTCACAGATATGACCACTCATCCACCGATATCAGGCTTTATCTGAAGATGTATTTCGAATTTTAAAAGCTGAAAATAAACATAGTAACTGAGCCCCTAAGCTCACTTAGATGTTTCATAGGATGGAAAAAGTGACAAAGGCTCTTAATAGCTTCCTAGGGTTGCCGTAAACAAGTACAACACACTACGTGGCTTGAAACAATAGAAATTCATTGTCTCAGAGTTCTAGAGGCTTGAAGTCCAAAGTCAAGGTGTCCACAGGGCCATGCTCCCTCTGAAACCTGTAGAGGAATCCTTCCTTGCCTTTTCCCAGCTTTTGGTGGTTTGCCAGCCAATGCTTGGCATTCCTTGGCTTGCAGCTGCATCACTCCAATCTCTGCTCCATCTTCACATGGCCTTCTCTCTATGTCTCCCTCTGTCTTCCCACGGGCATCTTCTTATAAGGACACCACTCATATTGGATTAGGTGCCTGCCTGCCTCCAGTATGACCTCATCTTAACTAAGTACATCTGCAATAGCCCTATTTCCACCTAAGGTCATATTCTCAGGTACTGAGGGTTAGGACCTCAACATACTTTTGAGGGGGACACAATTCAACCCATAAGAGCCCACAGACCAAAGAAGGATCTGGCTATGGGATCTTGAGCTAATGGGACTAAGAATGACTTGTAGTCCAATTGCTAAAATGTTACAGACCAGAAACTTGCATTGCTGCATCAGGGAGGGGCCTCCAAAGGCATGGTGGATTGAGCTAAATTGGACTCCCCTCTACACACAAACATTGTGGATAACGAAGAAACAACAATAGAGTTGAGCATAGAAGAAAGGAAGGGGTCTTTCCAGAGGTTGCGAATGAAGAGGGAAGTAGAAATCAGAACGGTGAAGGAGTACCAGGCCCTGGCAGATAGGGGCTGGGCTTTCCACCCCGTGTAGGGACAGACATATAGTGAGGTGGAAAGCTGTAACTGAAATGTCCATACAGAGACATGGATGGCTGCCCTCTTCATGTAAAGTGGACTGGAAAAAATCCACCCATCTGTTCGAGAAGCTATAAGGAAGTTTGTTACCTGCTTGGATGCTTGGTGTAATGACAGACACAAGCAGCCTCTGGTGGGAAACCTGAAGTACAAGACTTTGTCAAACTGAAGTGTGGGGTCCAAATTTATACAACCTACCTGATGTGGAAATCTCCACCTAAGAAGCTGACGGTAAAATTGGTCCAGGACCAGTGAAACAAGCTGAAGAAAACGCGTAGCTGCTCTATGACGGCACATCCACAAGCCAGGTGCACAAGACTCCCACAGAAACACTACAACCCCGCTCATAAACATGAACTTGTAATAGACACTTAGAACCCACATGAGAAAAAAACACCTCTGCAATGCCTGCTGGACCTGCAGGAGAGCATCTTCAGGCTTTTGGTTCTACAGAAAACCATCACCTGCCTACACAAACAGGAGCGATTGTACTGCACACAAGTTATGTCACCCAGTCTGAAGTCTTCCTGAGGCAGCTTTCCCAGTGAGGACAGAATCCCTGCTGCCCCTCAGGAGTCTAATATACATCCTTCTGGTTTGACGGGATCTTATTTTCTACGAACACAGCACAAATCAACCAGTGTGATTAACAGGCACCTACAATTGCCTTTACCTCAGGATATTCGCTGTGGCTTTCCGTTCTTGGGGAAGAAGATCTGGGTCTCGCAAAACTTCTTCTAGCAAGTTTAGGACGTTCATCTTTAGTTCGTTGTTGAGTTCGAAATCCTATAAAATGAAATGGATCTTTTTAAATTTTAGTTTTGAAGGGTTTAGCTCCATGACACCATTCCTCGTGACAAATTTATGGAAATTAAAATGTATGGGCCCTAGACCCTTCCCCCTCCAGAGATTCTGACTTAATTGGTTTGGGATGGGGCCCTGCCGCTAGGCTCCCTGGGGGATAGGAATTCCTCAAAGAGACATGTGTGCCCCTTAGCCTGGAACACTGCCTCCCCCCAGGTTTATTTCTATTCATCTCTCAGCTCTAGGAGGTGATATACTTTCTCCCAGGAGCCTTCTTTAGTTGACCCAGTGGGACAAAGAGCTTTTCCTTGGTGTTCCTATGGTACAACCTATCATAACTTACTGTACTATAAGGGCTGATTTAATTGTCTGGTTTCCCATTGGTCCATGAGTAAGATCAGTAACTGGGGCATAACAATAGCTAAAGAAAAGATTTTTGCAAGAATAAAATCTGTCATTTGGGCAGTGACTTGAATGAAGAACTTCAGTACAGGTATGCTAAAGAATAAATGATACACACCAATGGGGCTGTGTCAAACAAACACAGGAGTGAGATTGAAAGGGTACCCACCCAGCAAAGTTGGTACCATACGAATGCCAAAATGATTAATGAGAGTAATAAGTAATAGGCACCTGCATCAAAACCACCTGCAAGTCACTACTGATGCCCACAAACAAATACATAAATAGAGAAATACATAAAGAGGGTGGAAGAGAAAACTATTCTTTACAGTGGACTTCCAATAAATGCAAAGGAATATAAGAGTTAGAAAATCACCATTTTTGACCAAAGCAGTAATAACGGATCAGGTAAGGATCATGAATAGATGCTGAAATTTATGGAGAAACGGAATTAATAGTGTCAGAGTACTCCTCCCACAATGCTACCATTAGAGATTATTTATTATTTACAAAGGAAGAATCTGACAGATGCCACCTGAACCAAGTGAGCAGAGTTGCCACCACCAGTAATGGAGCAAACCAACATCATGGACCCACTAAGGTAATGTTCCGTGAAGAATCATCACTTAGTATTTTTGCCCTAAATGCATAATCCTGCACCTGCATTGTGAGGAAGCACTGGCCTGCACACTCCAAAAATGTTAATGTCATCAAAGAGAAACTGAGAAACTGGTCCAGTTTAAAGGACACCAAAGGGACCAGAGCTAAATGCAACAGGTGAGCCTGGATTAGATCCGGGATCAGGGGGAACTGCTACACAGGGCATTACTGGGACAACCAGCAAAAACTGAGTCAGAACTATGTACTAGTTGAGAGCATCCTATCCATGTTAAATGGTCCTGAATTTGATAATTTTGCTGGGGCTGTTTCAGAGCAGGTCCCTGTTCTTTGTTGGGTTGAGGGGAGGAGAGAGAGAATGTGAGAGAGAAAAGGAGAGGGAGGGGGAACACTCATGTGGTAAACATGTGAACTATTAGTGATTCCAGATGTGTATCCGTGCACTTTGTTTAATTCTGACATTTTCTCTTGATTTGAAAATTTTCAAAGCAAAAAGTTAATAAAAAGGTAAAGTTGTAGTTCTTTTATTACATGCATTCTCATAAAATACCAACAGCATACTGGCAGCATCCTGGAACTGTCGGGTATTCAGAGGTGAACTGAATGCCGCCATGACTTGCTTTCAAGATCTGACTCTGACAGACTATCTTTGTACATGCAGGCATGAGGGTTTATTTTCCCACTTATATAAAGTTACCCATTATAAGTACATTTTAACTTTAGGAAAAGTAATTTTGAAGCACTGACATTCTGAATTCTTTTAAATGATTAGAGAGAATATTGCTAATTGCAATGGATCCAATAAAAAGAAAACAGCATACTTTTACTATATTTAGTAAATTAGGAACATAAAGTCCATACTTTCACAAATTGTAGACAATGCAAAAGTCTCACTTAACTTGAATACTTGTGAGCCTCAGGATGGTGGAGAACAGTGTCATTCATTTTTCTCAATATTTCACTTTCACTGTTTGACAATCAGTACCATTTCTTCGAGAACAGGAGCCACTAGGGCCCCAGGCAACACCTTCAGTTGATATGTTTTCCTAAAATTTCACCTACTTATTGTCCAAGAGCTTCTTGGCTATTGCTTTTCTTTTAAAATGTATGCGAGGAGGAGAGAGTAACACCTTGCTGCTGCTCTTTTCCTTTGTCTGTCCCCACCCCCCAGTTTCAAAGGTAATGGGAATGATGTTTATAAACAGTTAATGATCTCACCTACTTCAATCTTCATGCACTACCAAAGGATTTCTCAGCCACCAGGAGTCTTTGCTTAATGGATATTTGATATTTATTATTGAGATGACTGAATCCTGTTGCTATGTTGAGTCTCTCAATGATGCAAATAATCTGATTATCATAAATGGATTAGTGTGAAGGACATCAAGCCAGTGTTTGGACCTTGTTGGGGGCTAATTAGTGGTTAATCAACAAGCATCCCCAAGTACCTACTGTGCCCCAACCTGGGCTCAACGGGAGGAATGCTTCTGAGACCCCAGGAAGGCAAATTCTGTGAAAGGTCTTGTTAAAGAAAACAGAATGTAATTTGATTATTCTGAGCTCTGGGAATACTAGCCTAAGCGAGACCTTTGAAAACTTGGTGAAATCTGCCCAGACACTATCTGAAGCACAACAAATGGTTACAGGTGAATGCTCGCTTTGCTGAGGATGCAGCTAATATGAAGTAGATTAGCTAATGATGGCTGAGTATGAAATGTAAGAATTCTCACTCATAGTTTTCCTTTACACTTGCACAGGCTTTTATCACGTTCAAAGTGACCTTCTGTATATGATTTCAGCTCTTCCTCAGCCGACCCAGGGGCAGGTAAGGCGGGAACCAAGATCCAATTTCACACCCGGGTGGCTGAGGCGGACAGAATGTGATCACGTGGGGTGAGATGAGGCACACAAGGACGGGGCTGCGGGGGGACAAGAGCACAGATCTTCCACCTTACTTCCACCCGCGCTTTGCTAACTGTCACGTGCCCACGAATCACCGCAGATTCCGGTGCAGCAGGTCTGGAATGGGGACTGACTCTAATTTTCTAACGAGCTCCTGGGTTTTGCTGGTCACACTTTGAGTAACAAAACTTTGCCATTAAAAACAATTCATGCAAAAAACAACTCCTCAAAAACTGATAACAATCTGAACCCTGTGATGTACAACCTAGAACGTAAATTTTTCTTTCTTCACCAGTGCATGTAAAATCCAGAATTGGCCATTCAAAAATCCCTGTTTAAAAGCATAGTACCTACTACTCAATGAAAAGAAATCTGAATCAGCTAAAAGGCACTTGCCCTATTTAAACCCAGAGGTCGATTATTCACAATAAGCCTGCCTGACCGCCATTTTGTAATTATCTAGAATCTCATTTTTGGCTACATTTCCCCAGGTCCTGAAATGGGAAACCAGAATACTGGGTGGTGGAGGAACACCGACTCCTTGGCAAAGTCAGCAACCAAGGTGCCCACAAGGTGGCGCTCCCGGGTCGCCTGGCTCGTCGGGAGTCGGCAGCGCCTTTCCCGGACCCGCGGGCGGTGTATAGCGAGCCGGGCCCGAGCCAGGGAGCTTCGGGGTAAGATGAGTGAACCCCGCGGCACCCAAGAGGGCCTGCAGTTATCCCAGCAACAGCTTACTTAGGTTAGTTTTCGTTTTCCAATTCATCAAGCAGGGCTGAGGAGGCTTAAGACTGGAAAAAAGAAACCACCCTGTTTTCAAAGAGGCAGAGCCCAGAAAATGTGAGACGTTTACATTTCAGTCTCTGAACAGGAGACTATAGCTCGTGTTCTTTCAACAATGACTGAGCACCTCAATACCTAGGGCTCTGGGGGAGACACAGAACAGCCAACAGAAGTCTGGGCGAATGGAGGAGATACTAACCAATGAAACACAGGGCTTTAAGAGGGGGGAATCTCGGGCTTCCCTGGTGGCATAGTGGTTAAGAATCCGCCTGCCAATGCAGGAGACAAGGGTGCGATCCTTGGTCCGGGAAGATCCCATATGCCGCGGAGCAACTAAGCCTGCGAACCACAACTACTGAAGCCCGCGTGCCTAGAGCCCATGCTCTGCAACGAGAAGCCGCTGCAATGAGAAGCCCGCGCACCGCGACGAAGAGTAGCCCCCGCTCGCCCCAACTATAGAAAGCCTGCGGACAGCAACGAAGACCCAACGCAGCCAAAAATAAATTTATCAAAAAAAAAAAAAGAGGGGAGCATCTAAAAGCAGGTGAGACCCTGGCACCTGATTGAGTCTTAGGAGAGGGGCAGGTCTGGGAACCCCCTGTAAAGAGGTGACAGCTTAAGCAGAGTGTCCAAGAGTGGAATGTGGCACACAGCAAATGCTTAGGAACAAAAAGTTACCACCCGATGATGCAAGAATCCTCCTGGAGAGGTAAGCTATTGGGACATAAGGATATTTTACCAAGATTTTATAGACTCTACTCAAACACATTCAAAAATGATTAGGAGAGTCAATATTTTCCCTAGGTTAGTGAACAACTCCTGAGGTAATTATCATAACTGAGACTTAGTGAGAGTTTGCCGCACGCTAGATGATATTCTAACCACCCTATTATCTAATTCAACCCTCAACAGCAACACAGTTACAATCATTATTATTTCCATTTCACATTTGAGGGAGTCAAAGTACAGAGAATCTAAGTATCTTGTCCAAAGTCACACAGGTAGCAAGCGGCAGACCCAGGACACAAACCTGGGCAGTGTCAGCTCAAGCCTGAGTTTTTAACTGCTACATAAGGACTCTCCAGAAACACTGGTTATCAGTGAAGGGTCACTGGTGGCTTGGGCTGAAAGACACATCCAAACTGTAGCTGGTTACCGTGCTGAGCCTGGAACTATCTCCCACCTATACTAACAACCATTTGAGACACAGATCTTGAGACTGAGGTTTGTATGAATAAGACTAGACGACAGAACAGAAAAATCATCTGTGAGGCAATAAG